CACTCTACAGACTTCAGAAGTAGGCAGCCTCCACATTGCAACTGAGAGGCAAGGGGGTTTTCTCACATCCAGAAGCTCCTAGCAATTAGTTAAGGATTTTGTTTTGCACATTGGACCTCAGTTTTCTGGTTTATGATACTTGAATCTTATTGATACTCTGAGGTTTGTTTTAGGGATTTGTGTAATAGAGGCTGAATAGAATCTGTCGCCTCCTGTTTCTTAATTTAAAGCTTATTTTGTCACACAGACACACACATATGCACAGAGAGAGAGAGAGAGAGGCAAACAGAGAGACAGCACCCCCTGGATATTGATACTATAATCTATCCTCAGCTTCAGCCATACTTGGACCATGGGCATGTGTGTTCCCAGCATACTTAGAGAGGTTTCCAGACATGAATGCAGAACCTTCCCATGTGAGTCAGCCTCACAGAATGTGGCATTTTACCAGTGTACCACCATCCAGCCCCTACCACCTCTAGTTTCTTAAGCCAGTGTCTTATGACTAAACTCCTAATCCTCTATGTGTATGTGGCAGGTTTTAGGAGGGACATAAAGCTGTAGGATATATGTGATTTAGTATATTTCAGTATAAATTTATTTGAACAGTAAAACAACTTATTTAAGGAGTGGAATTTAAAATTTACACAAGTGATTAAGACTAAACCTGAGAATGACAAGAAATTCTGGCTTGTAGCCATCTACTTATCATCCCCCACCCCCTCTTCCCAGACCCAACCCTTGTGTCTTCTGGGTGTATGTGTTTATTATTTTATGTTGCTTAAGGATTTCTTCCATGGAAGCTCAGAAATACTGGCTCAAGTCAAATGAACTGGCTGTCTGGGATCAAAAGGAGTCTCTTGTTTTTTTCCTCAGAAATGGAGTCATTTCTTAGAGTAAAATAATAAAGACCCTAGTCACTGAGGCCACAGAGGTTGTTCCTGAAACCTGGACCTAGATGGGTTCCTCCCACTTGAAAATGAAATTTCTCTTTCCTCTGGATGGAAGTCTCAGTTGTACACAAAGCTGGAAGTAAGCAAAGCTTGGCCCTGTTTCTTTGTTGGGACTTGCAAATGGGGCCAAGAGTTGCCGAATCAAATGGTTCTCAGCACCCCGTGAACTGTAATTGGAAATCTCCTTAGAGCCTGGGGTCAAGGGTCATTTGTTTTGTCATGTTTTCTTTTTCAGTCTCAATTTTCTTTAGATCATATTTCCATTGCCCTACATCTTTACTTCGTCATGTTGGAACTTCAGTGCAGACTGAGAGATATTGCTCATCTCTCCAAGTTATGGAGCCTAAGGAAATAGAAAATGTACATATTTCTGATTTCTCTGTGTTGCAAAGGAAGAAGCAGTACTCAGAGATCAAAATTCCCCACTGATCCTGAAATCTTTGTTTTGACATCACTTTAGCTTTTCCTTAGTCCAACTTCTCAGAGCTACTCTGGATTCCAGAACTAACATTGATCCCCATGATACTTTGGTCCTTCTGTCTTCACACCCATGTCCACCTCACTAGTGAAACAGACCATGTAGTGTAAAAAGAGCTTAGAGAGTGGGCCAGTCAGTGGAGTGGAAGTTAAGCTGCTGGATTCCACATGGCTGACATTGCAGTTCAAGTCCTGGACCCAACAACTTGAAAAAACATGCTAGACACATATTCATGCTTGCTCAAACTCCTGAGAAGAAAATGGAGGAGAAAGGATTTTGGCATGGCTACCCCCTATCTGGTGATGTTTCTCTCTCCTCCACCTCCTGCATGCATCTTAAAGCAAAAACACACAAACAAAATAAGCAAACAAACAAAAAGGCTATGAGTTCACTCTGGGAACCTCCAGGACTGAATGAATAGTCTGAGTTTTCCTCCGTCCCTTCAGTCCTAAGGTCTCTGAGGCTCTAAAGGTGTGTAGTTGGTGCTGGCAAAAACTGAATGCTAATATATCAGTACCAGTTCTATTCCCAGTCAGCCCAGTGAGCATTCTGGCCCCAATGAGTGAGCATTCTGGCCCTAATGATCCATCTTATCTATAGCATCTTCAGTGGGTTTCTACCTCTGCCTCTACCCCTACCTCTCAGCTGGATTGTTCTTAGTACTTGAATGTGGACCCACTATTCTTCTGTAACCCTGTGGGAAATCATTAGAATGGTTAATTGAGCCCTATGTTAGATCTAGGATGAGATAGAGGTACTTAAAAAAAGTTTTTCTGTCTACACTCACCCTGTTCATCCTCTGCAAAAAGCCATTTATCACATTTCAACATGAGTCTTCAAGTTTCTCTACAAGTTGCTGGTAATTCCTACTGTCTATTGACTTAGAGTCAAGGACTTACCTGGCCATCAAATCCTGGAAGCCTTTTGATCTTTTCAAACCCCCCCCACCTCCACTTTTATCTTTTCTAAACAGGAACTTAAATTGCCCAAATCAGCAAGAGGTAGGTGGGAAATGGAATTGTTTTTCTTAGCTAGTTGCAAAATAACCTTGTTACTTAAATAGTAAAATGACAGAAATTAAGAGAAGAAAGAAGGCCAGTCTGTTGTACAACAGTTAAGTGCTGTACAGAGCGAGTTGGATCCCACATGGCCAACCACAGTTAGAGTTCTAGCCTTGACAGCTTGAAAAACACAACAGGCACATGTGCCTAGGAGGATGGAAAAATGGGGGAAAAAAGATTGTGTAATGATTAGGCCCCATTGGTGGGTTTGTTCTTTCTCATGTGTATGGGCCCTGTATTTATTCTTTCTTTAAAAAAATTGCTATAGGACATGTATGCTTGCTGAAAGAGAGGCAGGAGCAGAGGTGAGTGTGAGGAGGGTGAGAAAGCTCTTCCAGTGGATGACCATACTGCAACCCCTTCTCCTTTATTCTCTCCTTGGAATTCTGGGCATGCATGCACATGCACCCAGTGTTTTTTTTTTTTTTTTTGGAGAGGTTTTTGCTATAGGGCCTGTGTGCTCACCAGAAAGAGAGAGATAGAGACAGAAAGTGAGAAATCACACCCCAGGGGGGATGGCTAAGCCACAATGCCACAATTCCTTCTCCTCCATTCTCCTCTCAGGATCTTGGGCATGCACGCACATGTGTCTGCACCCAGCGTGCTTTTCAAGTTGGTGGGTTCAGGACTTAAATCATGCAGTTCACCAGGTGGAATCCAGCTGCCTTAACTACCACACCACTGGCTGGTTCACTTCTCTCTTATATATAAAAGAGAGAAGAAATAGATTATTTAAATTACCACCCCTCCTCCAATTTGGACCCATGGGGAAGTTGAGACCGAGAGAAATGTGCTTCTTTAAGATTACACAGCTAGTTGGAGACAAGAATTTCACTCAGGTTTCCTGATACGTGATTGAAGCTATGAAGGGAAAGGATAATCTGGTAAGCAATGGAGGTCGATGGCTTTGGGGGTATGGCTTCTCTCCACAGTGATTGTTAGCTGGACCTAGTAAAAGCCAGGATGCCTATGTAGATGCAGAAGTAGTCTACATTTGTTATCTGGATAGGCTTTCTGGGCCAAAAGATGTAAAGCAGTTAGTCACTTGAGAACCCCAGGGATCCTTAGCTCCTTTGAGTCCTTGGCACTAGGAAATAGCAAGCTAGAGAACAAAGGGTATAGACTTTGTACAGACACACCAAGGTTCTGTGGCCCTGTGACTTTTAGATAGCCTTAGTTCCCTCATCTATAAAATGAGGATACTAACAATCTGACAGGAATGTTCAATGTTCAGTGCCTAGCACATTAACAGGTGCTTAATATATGTGAGCTACTTTTTCCTCGGGGCCTCTGAAGCTCCATATTATAAAATCTGGGTGTGTGTGGGGACCCTAGCTTTGGATACAAGCTTTGTGGTTATGGTGGAGGCGTGTGTGTGCACGTGTGTGTGTGTGTGTGTGCTTGTGCACTTGTGTGTGTGTGTGTTGAGAGGAGATACTAATTTGTTCACAGGGAAAAACATCGGCAACACTGGGTCGTTGTTCCCAGCTTCTATTTCTAGGTATATTAGATTCTCTGCTGACCTCTCCCTAACCACCCATTCTACACCTGCCTCACACCAAAGGAAAGGTAAAGAAGACTGCTTGGTGCCAGCCTGACCTCATTAGGATGTGGTTCAGCTTCATTGCTGCCAACCCCAATGGTGGGCATGCTGGGGTTGGGCCAATAGCCAGACCATTAAAATGCTAATATCAAGGAATTGGAGAACAGACCCCATCTGTCTTCTCCTGGCAAGCCTCCCTTTCCTGCCCATTGCTCAGCCAGGAGGCCCAGGACCCGAGGGGGCCCCTCAGCTACTGTACTGAGGTATCCAATCTGTTTTTACCCTCATTCTCACCCTAAGCCTACATGAGTAGTAGGGAGAATTATGACTGGGTTCTGACTAGTAGTACAAGATGAAGGAGTTCATCCAACAATCTCTACCTTCAGCCTTCAGTTCATCCTGGGAGTGGGAGGCTATATATGGCATTGTAGAGGGAGGGAGGAGGAGACATAAAGCACTGGATTTGAATGGACTTTGAGTCAAACAGGCCCAGTTTGGATCCTAACTCTGTCACTCACTCCTTGGACCTTGGGCAAATTATCTCACTTTTCTGAACCTCACTTTCACCAACCATAAAATGGGCTTAATTGTAATTAAATCATAGGGCTATTGTGAAAATCAGAGGAGACAATGGATGTAAGGTTCTTAGTATGTGACAGTGCTCATAAATAGCACTAGGTTGTCAGAAAAGTAATGACATATTTTTCTATATATTTTTTCCTGTGTAAAAATGTGTATGGCTTTTCTGATAGATCCCTCCTCTTCTTCAGCAGAAGTACTTTGTGCAGAGATGCTGATTTCAGTTCCTGGCAGTTGCTCAAGTGTATTTGCTTGCCAGACTCCAAGCACTTTGTACCCTGTAAGGGCAAAGACCATGTTGGCTCTACTTTTATGTCCTCTGTGACTAACACAGGTTAGATAAATATTCAATCAATGGTTATTTTGTGTTTTTTTTTTTCTTCTAGGTGGTGAAAACTATTGGCCTGAGGGAAGTTTGGTTCTTTGGTCTGCAGTACCAAGACACTAAGGGTTTCTCCACTTGGCTGAAACTCAATAAGAAGGTAACTGCTTACTCCTCTGTGAGGTTTGGAATCCATCCCTCCACCAGAACTTGTTCAGGGGATAACATATGCTAACTGGCAACCCCAGGGTACCTAGAGCTGTGCTTGTCACTGAATTGTCTGTTGACCGTCTGAATCAAAATAAGGGCAGAGAACTGAGCCATAGCAGAGTTCTTGTTCTATCTCCACTTGACTTTTAACAGTGGAATGACCACTGTCCAAGGAAGAAAATACCCTTTCTTTCCTACTAGGAGCTCTGTCTTAAACTTTTAGACTAAAACCACATTAAAGTTGAAGGTGCGTGTGCTCACCAGACAGACAGAGACATAGAGACAGAAAGCAAGAAATCACCCCCCAGAGGGGATGGTCACGCTGCAATCCCTTCTCCTCCATTCTCCTCTCGGGATCTTGGGCATGCACGCACACATGCCCGGCATGAGTTTTAAGCCACCGGGTCCGGGACGCGAACCGCGGTCGACTACGTGGGAGTCCAGTGACATAGCCATTACGCTAACTGCTGGTTCCCGAGAAGCCATAGACTCTTGAACTGGAAAAAAAACCTTCTTAAAAATTAAAAAAAAAAACCCTCTTAGGCTGGCCCCATAATGTGGTGGTTAAGTACTGCATTGAGAGTCAGATTCCACATGGCCAACTGTGGTTCAAATCCCAACCCCAGCAGCCTGAAAAACATGTGTGTGTGCATGCCGAGAATCCTAAAGAGATGGAGAAATGAAGGAAAAAGGATTGCAGCATGACCACCCCCCATGGGGTTGGGGGTGAGACAGGCAGTTCTCTCTCTCTCTCTCATGCTTGTGCATATGTACACAGGCCCTCTGGCAATAAAAAGAAAAATATATATATCTTGCTGCCCCATCCTATTGGTCAATTTATACCTGAACTCCATACAGATGCTTCCCTCTTTCTTGATCTTCTACCTCAACTGGATTCCAAATGATATGATTTTAGTTCATTTAAACTCTTTGATCCAAGCAGCATCTTCATAGGAACCTGGAAGTCCTCAGTATCCTCAAACTGGCTGACTTTGTCCTTAGAAGTCTCCATACTGTCCTGTGGCTTGTTTCCCTGGTTGGGTCTATAGAGTGGGTGCCCGACCTTAGGCTGGTAGTCTTGTTTTCCCAAAATATTGAGACTTTTTGCTGGACAGATGCAGAACTGTTTGGAACTGATTTCAGGCTTTAAAATACAACCTAGTTTGTGTTCTTGCTTAGCCACTTCTGAGGCCTCCATCATATGTTCTGGTCTTTACTTTGCTAATTTATGGGGTTAGAGGAGCCTTAAAAAAAGAGCTTTCTTAAACCTACCCTCAGAATTTGGGGACAGTTGGGTATATTCTCAGTTAATGGTACCTTGAGAGCTTCTGATCCTCAGTGAGTTATAGGTAATTTCAGAAGAAAATTGCAATAGGAAGTAATTAGGGACATGGGATAAGGCTGCCTAAGAAAGGAATGTCTCTTTTCTGACTAACCAGTGTGTTGACACCTAGCCCTATAGAATTATCCAAATTAATTACTTCTCATATCTTTCCACTTACCTACAGACACTTCTCTATAGCTGCTTTCTTATCCCTAAAGCCTTTTGTTATTTTCTAACCAGAGAAGTTTACTTCTATTTTTCTTAAAAATGCAGAATTTTATCTTGTGTCAGTTACACAGGCATGACAAAAGTAGATTACAAAGGCACTGAATATAAAAAATGATTAATACTAGGACATCATTATTTGGAACAAAGGAAGTTTTCTACCTTTCTCCATTTTCTGACTTAAGCATTGTTTTATCATTATCCCTGTAATGCTGATAAATACACTGGCTGATTACTGTATATAAATTTTCCAGCTGAAATATAGGGATCTTAAGAAATTTTATGGAAAAATGCATATGACAAAACTATTCATGAGTCTCAAAATTATTTTGCAGTAAAATAAAGCCATACTTTAATTCCATTTTCCATGAGCTTTTGAAATTCTCTTGTATTGTATTATTGCTTTTAAAAAAAAGTCTTCAAAAGATTTTTTAATTGCTCATGGTCCCAACTAGTGAGGGTTTAGGCTGAGAAAGATTCGCCAAAGCCTTTTTTGACACTGACATGCTGTTGTCGCTCTACTTGGGAATGTCTATCTCAAGTTACGAATAGAAATCACATTTTCTTGCTTCATTTTTATCAAAAATATCTATTTTCTGAGAGGTAGAAATATCTCCATTGTAAGAAATCTTATCTCTTAAATTTTCCCTGTGTGCATGTGTGTGTGTGTGTGTGTGTGTGTGTGTGTGTGTGCGTGTGTGTTTTCTTCATTCATTATAGAGTGTGTGTCCCTGCAAGAGAGAGACACAGAGAGATGAACAGCCTCCACAGGTCTGACCACACCATAATCTCCTTCCTCTTATCCTCCAGCCCACTGGATCTTGGGCATTCACACATGGCCTGGTGTGTTTTAGGCTGACTGCTTGGGGGATTTGACATAGCGGTAACTATGTGGGATCCAGCCTCTGTTAAGCAGCACATAACCGCTGTACCGTGGAGCCAACCCTCTTTTCTCTACATGCTGTAGTCTTAGATTCCTCAAGGTCATTCTCAATATTATAAGTACTTGAATTATTATTTCCTAATTCTGTCTTACCTAAATCCTATTTTTTGAGAGCCTATAACCTCTTGCTGCTCCCAGGTGACAGCCCAGGATGTGCGGAAGGAAAGCCCTCTGCTCTTCAAGTTCCGGGCCAAGTTCTACCCTGAGGATGTATCCGAGGAATTGATCCAGGACATCACCCAGCGCCTGTTTTTTCTGCAAGTGAAGGAGGGTATTCTCAATGATGATATTTACTGCCCACCTGAGACAGCTGTGCTGTTGGCCTCTTATGCTGTCCAGTCCAAATATGGTGACTTCAATAAGGAGGTGCACAAGTCTGGTTACCTGGCAGGAGACAAACTGCTGCCACAGAGGTGAGGGAGTACTCTGGCCTTTCACTGGTCAGAGGTGACTGCAGCCTAAGGCTGACCAATCCCTGCTCCACATGGACTTTCAGTTAATTTTCTCTGTACTAGGGTCTGTCAGAGGACTATATTGTGCTGCCCAGAGAGATGTATTTGTATATAGTGTCATACGCTGTTGTTTTGCTGGCTCTCAAAAATAAAAAGCCCCTTTAACCCCATCTGTCTGCCTGATTACAGAACTTTATTACCTTGGAGGAAGACACTTATATAGAACCAGAGATAGATTGATTTTATTTCCCTTTTCTAGTTCTACTTTCTTCCTTTTTTTTTTTCTTTTCTGATTTAGACAGCTTACATAAGAAATTCACAAGGGAGAGAAAGAAATATGCAAATCAGGGAAATGGAGAGTTCAAATAGGCTTTTACTATTGATAACCAGTTTACAGACCTTTTGGCTTTTATGTACTTCACAGCTGAAAGTTCTGAAATACTCATTATTTTTGTTTCAGTATTTCAATAACACGTAAAACAAATAAGGTAGGATTTGTCCTCATTTCATGGCTAAGGAAATAGAGGTGCTTGCATTGAATTGCCCCAACTCCCATAGTTCATTTGAGGCAGAGCCAGACTGGGAACCCTAGTCTCTTAAATTGTTTAGCCCTGAGTTTTTTCCACTATACCCAGTTGCTATTTTTCATAGATTTAGAAGGAAAAGCTCTGCTTCATTCTGGGAGCCCCAGTTCCATTAGAGCTATGACATGTGTACAATCTACTGGAAGGTATTAGGGATATAGTGGTTATGCCCTGGGGCTCTACCTGGGTCATTGCCATGATTATCCAAGACGGCATGTTTAAACTAAGCCTTGTTTAAGATCTAGTAGATCTGGGAGGTTGGGCCTGTTAGTTTCTCCCAAAACCATTTGGCCTCAGTTCTCTCTTCTGTAGTCAAAGCCTGTCCTCTCATCTCTGAATAATAATCCTTTTTTTCTGATTTATTTATCTCTTCCATAAGAGAGAAGGAGAAAGAGAGAGAGATAGGTACTTCCATCAGGATCTTCTTGCCACCATCCACTCCCTGTCTTAGGAGGCTTGAATCATAGATACACACACCCAGCATGCATGGGGAGGTCCGAGCACACAAACTCAAGACCTTTCCCATGTGGGTCCAGGTACATTACTACTGTGGCACCATCTGTTCCTCCTCATCCCAAATATTAATCTTATGCACACAAACTCTTGATTTTAAGAGAGTCTAAGAAAGAATGTACTTGGCTCCATGAGGCCCATCCCTACTCTTAGATCCCTTAATTAGCACAAACTCTTAATACATTACTGCTATGCTTAGAGACCACAGAAATTACTGGATTTTTTTGGTAAAAGGTACAAAAGAAGGTGTTCTCATTGTCTTTCTTTGTCATAATTTCTTTTTGCTCTTCTACCTCTTAGATAGTTCATTATGTCTAATTTAAACCTTTCTGCTATAATCTCAGGCTACTTCCACTATAACCTCAATGGACTGATTCTATATCCTCTTTGTATCAATCCCTAAGAGAGCTAAGTAAACTTTTTTTCCTTCCTGAATATTGATTTTGTGCTTAAAACTGCTTATTATCCATTCTCTTTCCAGAGTGCTTGAGCAGCACAAACTCAACAAGGACCAGTGGGAAGAACGGATCCAGGTTTGGCATGAGGAACACCGAGGTATGCTCAGGTAAGCTTACCCTGGCAGCTATGGGTTCCACTGCCCTTGCAGTGAGAATTAGAGTTAGTTCTGGGGAAAAGAGGCAGACAACTGGGTACATAGGTGGATATTAGGGAAAGCGACGGGAATGCTGGCACTTAAAGAAGGCAAACCAGGACCACAACGCTGTCCTTTTTTTTGTTTGTTTTGATGATTGGTGACAACTGGTAGCCCAGTTTTGACCATAAAAAATGGATCTTTGGGTCTCTAGGGAGCTGCAGCACCACCAGAGGCTCCTCCCCAAGAAGAAGGAAATGGAGAAGAGGCTCATTAAACTTGGCAAAACATTTAGAGGTTGTCTGGTTTAAAGAACAATTCTCATCATTTTGCAATTACCACTCTATCTGAGCTCTCCAAAGCATGTGCCTGTATAAAAGGCTGTCAAAATGAATGGGAGGAAGAAAACTGCTTCTATGGCAGCTATTGTGTGAGTCCAGTAAGAGTCAATCCAGTCTTACTCTTCTTGGGAACCTCAGATCTTTGGTTTTTGTCAACAGGATTTGCTTGGAAAAAGTCAGGTTGTGCTCTCCTCACCATCATCTGTTTGCCTTATGTCCCCTTTCATACACCTGATAACAAGATCCTTGTCAGGAGTATAGAGAAAGCAGGCTTCCTGTCCCCCTGGGTCTGATCAGTTAACTCTCTTAAGTGATTCTGTACTCTGTGTTATTTAGAGAGGATGCTGTCCTGGAATATCTGAAAATTGCTCAAGACCTGGAGATGTATGGTGTGAACTACTTCAGCATCAAGAACAAGAAAGGCTCAGAGCTATGGCTGGGGGTAGATGCCCTGGGTCTCAATATCTATGAACAAAATGACAGGTATGCCTCAGACTTCTCTAGTTTATTTGGGTCACTCCAACACTCAGAGCTCACCCCTTATCATGGAGTAAGACTCTACCTCTTGTATCTCACCTTAATTCTTGAATTAATTTAGTATACCCCAGATGATTGCATAACCCTTCAGGCCTCTGAATCCTGTGTTCACTAGAGTTTCACTGTCCACTATGGTAGCCACTAGCCATATGTGGCTATTGAACCCT